GAAATAGAAAGTAAACAGTTAAAGGAAAGTGACTGTAAAAAAAGAAATCACTTTTTTTTTTATCTTCCGAAAGAGCTCAACTGCTAATTAAATTTTTATGCCAAGACTCATAAGAGAACAATTCTCTCTTTTTTTTTGAAGCATCACCAGTGGGTGAGTGGATATGAGATTTCACTGGCTTGAAGGCAATTCCCTTTGTACTCTATTAAACAATCATGAGGACAGGCTGGTTTCTAAGCTGCCTGACACTTGGTGATTTATGTTGCTTTGTCCCAACCAAAAGTACTGCCTTTCACTATTCATAAGCCAGCACAAGCTTGTTTAAAGATGTTGTAAGGAATGAATGTATAAAAAAMCATGGGTTTTATCATTTTGTATCATGGCCCAAAGCACAGCCTTGGTGATGGAGAATCCCCTGGCAGCAGGTGGGCAAAAAACCTTTGGTTTAGTGCAGAAAAATTTCATCTTAGCTTTATGGCCTTGCATTTTCTTCATTTTTCCATTCCACCCAACTTTTTTAACAGCTTAGCAAGCAAGATTTCAGCCTTTTGGCATATATTTAAGGCATGAAAGGACTTCCATTAACTTTGAGAGCCTTTAACTGTGACTTTCCAAGCAGCCCAAGGGAAACWGAAGCCCAAATTCCATTAAAACCATCAGTGAGCAACAGGTGCCCCCAGTCCCTGGGGCTGCTCTGGCCATCCCAACATTGCTGTTTACAGCACCATTTGGAGCAAAAAAAACCTGTTTTATCCCAGGAAATGAGCACTCCGAGGTACATTAACTTCATTTCCATTTCACAGCACGCAGCCCTTCAGGATGGTTTGGTGCCAGCCCCACTSACAGCCAGAGCCAGGTGACAGCACACTAAAAGCAGTTTGGGGATGATGTGGACTGATAATGTCGGGGTTGTTTTTTTTATGAAACCATTCAGTGATGGTGAAGGAATCAAACAGAGCATATATATCTTCACAGAGGTTTGGACCTGAGCTTCTATTGTGGTTTCCATCTCCCATAAGCAGCAGTGGGATATTGTTCAGCACCTCACCCTGTTGTTTCCACCCCTGCCTCACCCTCAGAGCCTGAATCCCACTGGAAGGGTTGAATCTGCTGCCTGGTCCTCAGCATCAGCTGAAGGGTGAGTGGTTGGTTGKCAGAAAAGGAGCAGAATTGGGGTGTTTTTGCCTTTATCTCTCGCAGACAAAGCTTGTCCCAAATATCAAAGTGATGAAATGCRCAGCACTGAGCAGGACACATGGGATGGCAAAGCTGGAGAGAATGAGCATGAACTTGTGATCGTGATACCCAGACTTTCATCCCAGACACCTAATGGCCAACCCTCCTCTTTTCTAATCTTCTTCTGCTGATAAGCAGATTTTATCCTCAAACGGATAAAATTTTGTTGTGTGCAAGTCCCCATTGGGGCAAACAACAAAAATAGAGCAGATGTTCATGAACCTCTCTTATAAATCACCTCTGAGGACTTGTGGAGAAAAAAAAATGACTCTGATCAACATGCCCTGCCTTCAGAACTCTGTGTGAGCAAACACTCTCCCACAAGCAGAGGTGAGCAGTGGCTTTTGCCTGTTTTCACATGGATATTTCCTTCAGTATTCCCCAAACTAGGTCTTGAATCTTGTAGCAGAAGTTTTCAGGTTGTACCTACCATGTTAAATTGTGCAATCGGGTGATCTGTGAGTGGTGTCAGTGGTGCTGGAGTTGGTGATATCTGCCCTAAACACAGAGCAGGTGCACAATCCATAACTTGGTGAGAGATTCCCACTCAACAGATTCACAGCCCCAACATTTTGAATGAAGAGCCACAAAGGAAAACACATCATCTCCCCACGTGGAGATGAGAAAATTGTGTCCTGAAGGAMAGGATTTGCTTCAGGAGCTTTCCACAAGTGAACTAGGCTGAAACAGAAAGAGCCCAGAGTTTGCATCAGCTGGGCTCTTTGCACTGAATGCTGTTTGTTCACATCACCTTTGCTCACATTTGAATTCCAGACTTCTCTTTGCCCATTCTGAAACACACTAATAGTGCGGAAAGCATACATGTCATGTTGTTTGATATACCTGGAGAGAA